CAGAACACACGTGAAGACAGGATTCCAGATTCTTAAACAGAGAAACACTCGAAAAGTCGAGTGCATGTCATCCCAACGCGGCCACACCTCTACGCGTTTCATTTACCCTGCACGTAGTATCATCAGGAGGTTTGAAAAGAAAGGAGAATCCTATACTCCCGAAGTAACACAGATGGCCAATCCTTTGCCTTGCCATCTTATATACCCTCTACCCAACTCCCTCCTTCAGCAATCCCTGCCCCATCGAGCTTCTCACGCCCATTAGTCCTACGAATACAAAGAGGAAGCAACGACTGACGAAGAATCCACGGACGGAGCGAGAACCCAGTCGCAAGCACGCTAGAGTATCCTTCAACCGCCACAGGGGAACGATCGCCATGTCGTACGATCTGCAAAACAGCCAACACGCACAAACATACAAGCACACAGCCAAAACCACAGGGGGAACACTCGCCGATTTGGAAACGAGACTCAGCAGGCGCCAATAGTCACGCGCGTCTTGCTTCGAAGTCCCCGAAACCGTCGCGAAGCACCACGGAGGCAGGCTGACAATCCAACAGCTCATATTATGAGCAGGGCTCATCGAGAGAACGTGCGCACTGCCCCATCACCCACCGAGTCAGACTGCGATGGGAGCAGCGTTAACGCACCAGCTGAAGCACAAGCAGCGGACCCTCCGTTAGGTACGCAACGAGCAGAATGAGAGATCAACACCGCTGTCTCCATCAGTAATATAGCAGAAGCGTGGGCCATCTTTACGGTACCTACCAACCGTTTGCCCAGCGAAGCAGGCACAAGGCGCAAGGCCCACCGTTGGGACCACAGGCGCCGCCAGGAGGCCTTCGAGGCCAAACCCTCCACTGCGAAGCCATAGAGGGTCCCTGCGAGGGGACCAACCCCGAGAAAATTGACAAGTCCGCTGGTAAAGCCGCAGGAAAAATGGCCCGGTAGGGCGATGTTGTGGAAAGAGACCACAACCAAGCCCCGAAAAAACCCCCCTAGGGCTCAATAAGTCGAGCAACAATCAGCCCTTCGGCAGAAGCCGTCCTGCTGGCAAACCTATGAAAAACCATCCGAACCAGCTTGGGCGGGTAACCTCGCAACAATAATTTCATTCTCACCGCTAGGAAAGCTTGCATTCTTCCGAAACAATCGAAAGACCAGCGATGAATGCGGAACAAAGTACGGAGGATAGCCCCAATCTTAGCCTGCTTGGAGCCGTACGATGCAAAATCTTGGAAAGATCCGAACTTCAGTGAACCGTCCTTCCATAAGCCATCCGAATTTTTAACCAAGGCTACAGTCCTCACAGAGGCCCCAATCCTCTGCAATTCAACACCAGCAAAGTTTCATTCACTCAAACCTTTATCCGTGTTTTCCAAACGCAGATTCCTGCCATAACAGCCGGAAAACAATGAGAGAATCTTGTGCGCCCTGACATACCCCTGATACCCCCTTACCGCTACGAAGATAGTCACATCATCCACAATGCGGAAACCAAAAACCAGTCTCTTGTCCATCCCCAAGGAGGACAAAAAAGCATGCTCAGCATAGACACAGAGGATACATGCCAGAGAACAACTGGTGGACTTACCCATGGGTACACCAATTATCTGCCTGAGAAAAACGGAGGCGGACCAAATGAAGGTAAACCTGAAATCAAATGTCACCATATCACGAATCAACCATAAGCTGAGAAGCAAGCACCCTTCCCTCTTCGAGCCAAATGATAGGTAGACAGTTTTTCCCCGTTCGGCAACGGATACTCCTGAGCAATCCCTGTCGTGATACCGATGAATCAACATATCCACTGCTCTAATTATGTCGGCCTGCGGGAGCGAATGAGCCCTACCCTTCGATGTGAAAGACGGCAGAAGCAGTCTACTAAATCCTTCCGATCAAGCAAGAGAGCAGATCCCAGCAACTTACAAATGCAGGCGAGCTCCTTCCCTAGCTCCACAACCCCCCGGTGACAAGACACAAAAGGGATATTCCTAGAATTACGAAAGATAGGAGGAACACCAGGAATCTCACCAATACGAGCTAGAATATGGAACCCATACCGCGAGCATTCCACATTTGCATCAAAACAAGGGCAAAAGTTGTTTGATGATCTAGCATACTTCCGGTGATTCAAAATCAGATCCCCAATGGTTCGGTTCTTCTTCCAAACAATATGGACTCTAGACAACAGAAATCCAACAATTGCATCTGACAATCGAGAGGCAGAAATACACTTGGTAACCAACTGGTGCACTTTAGTCAACGACACCCGATGGTCAAACCTCAAACGCACAACCAAATGCCGTCGGAGGTTAAATCCCAGTCTTCGCTTAATCTCCCGGGCTACAATACCTTTCAGCCTAGAACGTGTCTCCTTTTTTGAAAATTCCCTCGCTGCACGGAACCTGCGAACCGGCGTAAAAAAGGACCGCAAAGGCAAATCCCGCCGTCTTCAGGGTTGTTGAAGCAACAAACGCAACTCACCTTTACAAATAGCTCGGCCATTCGGGGTAAGCACAATAGGACAAAATATGAAGGAACCCCCCTTTTCGAACTCACGCTTACCTTCCTTAAGACAAAAACGACTCCGGTGACCTTCCACCATGGAGGTTCCAAAAACCCGCCGGAGAACCGACCACTTATTCCCCCATTGTGAACTAGGCAGACATTTAATAACCACAGTCCTAACACCCTTTTTAACCAAATTACTGAGCAAGTTAAACAGACTGTCAACCCACTCGCAGTTCTCCTCTCTGAAGCGAAGGACAGGACCATACCTTAAGATCGCAGGAATATTCCCAACCCTCTTCTTTCTAGATGGCCTCACCCATAATCTCTTCCCTCTACGAGTTTTCTTAGTATTAAGGGTCGGGCTAAACCTTCTGATAACCGCAATCTCAGTAGCATTAATGGAGCAAAGCCCATTCACCAGCGGCACAGCTACGTACTTCCACACTCCAACAAAACGCAACCATCGATAGAGCTTAGGACAAACGCCCAAACCCCCAGAGAAGGTCGTTCTACAGTGCTTCCCCCATCTCACATAAAGCCCACGAATCGTACTACCAACATACTGCGATTTACACCATGGGGAAGCCAAAATATAAAAAACAGGACCTGAATCCCACTCGCTCCAATCCATCGAACAGAGCATTTGCTCGAATTTAGAAGCCCATCGAATCTCCCCAAGAAGCACCAGAGAGACAAAACATAGAGATACACACTTATCGATAGAGATCCACAAATGAGGAGGAAAAGTTTCTTTGAAAGCAACAATCCCCTGGCTCATCAATGATAGCAGGTTATCCCAAAGCTTAAAAATGGAGTATCTTCGTAGTCAATCCGCCAGATCCACCTCGGGTGAACCCGGAGCCGACGTGGCCGGTGAAAAAATGAAACCCTCGTACGCCAGCTTGGTCCTGGCCGCAACGATCCGATCGATAGATGGGCCTTTAATACAGTACAGAAGGCTTTCCTTGCTGCAAATGCGCTTCAGCTCATCTTGATGCATGGCAGACAACCTCTTCTTCTGTTCTAGAACGTACTCCATTAGCCTTTCGGGACCACTCCCAGCAGGAATCTTGGTCCTAGCCACCCCCTCCGGGCACCACGAACACTCGGCTCGTAAAGGAGTATCCTCACCGCCATTAGGAGCGGAGAAAAGCGGTTGTCGAAAGTTACCTCCCAGCCAATTAGGCTCCTTCCCCTTTCTCCTCTTCTCCCGTAGCGCAGAAAGCCGGCGGATCTCCTCATCCAGGTCATCAACCTCCATATCGCCCTCATCTCTCTCAACGAACTCTCGTCTACGTCTTGGCGGGGGAGACCACCCTCTGCGTTGCTCCTCCCTCCTCACCTCCTCCCTCCTAACTTCCTCCTTCTGACCGAGATATTGTCTACCAACTGCTGCCATAACATCCGCCTTAGTAGCCTCAGCATACTTGGCCAACTCAACCCTCAAACGCTCATCAAATCTCTTTTGCTCCTTGAGCTCCCTCTTGCGCGCTTTTTCCTCCTTCCTCTCAGTGATGAGTTCCCTAAGAAATCCCTTTTCCTCATCTTCCACAGGATTCCTACGAGGAGTCCAGAAGCGTGGGGTAGATGGGGCTGAAAAGGAGGATTGACCCCCATTATTAACCGCATTCCCTCCCGCCTTACTAGGACATTCACGCGCGAAGTGGCCTTCGCCCCCACATTGAAAGCACTTCAAAGGCGTCGCCTTTGCAACTAGCACACAACGGGGATGGAGATGAAATCAGCAGGTAGTCGCTCGACTTCAACCAACCTGATAAACTAAACTTCTTCGAACTAATCCTTCCTAATCAGCACCCTAAAGGCGCCAGTGGTATCGTCGTACCAAACGTACACCCTGACCAGATCGGATGTGCCAACATTGCCAATCAAAATAGTTAGTCTAAGAACTATCCTCATCGTAAATCGGTCAACTAGACAAACTACCCAATATAGGGAACAACGTGGCCACCATCGAATGTTCACTCGCACCCTTGGTTGTCACGGTTATCAGAACTGAAGAAACTGTTCGGCAAAACAACATTCAACATGAGAATGGAGATGGAAGATACACCCAAAGCCACATTCCATTACGCACGCTATAGAAAACTTCAGAACACACGTGAAGACAGGATTCCAGATTCTTAAACAGAGAAACACTCGAAAAGTCGAGTGCATGTCATCCCAACGCGGCCACACCTCTACGCRTTTCAWYTACCCTGCACGTAGTATCATCAGGAGGTTTGAAAAGAAAGGAGAATCCTATACTCCCGARGTAACACAGATGGCCAATCCTTTGCCTTGCCATCTTATATACCCTCTACCCAACTCCCTCCTTCACCAATCCCTGCCCCATCGAGCTTCTCACGCCCATTAGTCCTACGAATACAAAGAGGAAGCAACGACTGACGAAGAATCCACGGACGGAGCGAGAACCCAGTCGCAAGCACGCTAGAGTACCCTTCAACCGCCACAGGGGAACGATCGCCATGTCGTACGATCTGCAAAACAGCCAACACGCACAAACATACAAGCACACAGCCAAAACCACAGGGCGAACACTCGCCGATTTGGAAACGAGACTCAGCAGGCGCCAATAGTCACGCGCGTCTTGCTTCGAAGTCCCCGAAACCGACGCGAAGCACCACGGAGGCAGGCTGACAATCCAACAGCTCATCACATGAGCCGGGAACCATACCACGCTCATCGAGAGAACGTGCGCACTGCCCCATCACCCACCGAGTCAGACTGCGATGGGAGCAACGTTAACGCACCCGCTGAAGCACAAGCAGCGGACCCGCCGTTGGGTACGCAACGAGCAGAATGAGAGATCAACACCGCTGTCTCCATCAGTAATATAGCAGAAGCGTGGGCCATCTTTACGGTACCTACCAACCGTTTGCCCAGCGAAGCAGGCACAAGGCGCAAGGCCCACCGTTGGGACCACAGGCGCCGCCAGGAGGCCTTCGAGGCCAAACCCTCCACTGCGAAGCCATAGAGGGTCCCTGCGAGGGGACCAACCCCGAGAAAATTGACAAGTCCGCTGGTA